AAGAAAAAATACTAAGAAAAGGGGAAAAAAGAGAACAGAAGAGAACAGAAGAGAAAGAAAGAAAGAAAGAAAGAAAGAAAATGGCAAGCAGCAGATCTTATATACGATTCCCGGCGGCTCGTGGACAGTCTGTGCTAGTCTCCTTTCTTTCTTCCTTTCAGCGGAAAAAAGAAACATGTTCTCCTTCGGATGTGGCACGTGACAAGCCCTTTTACTATCTTTTGGACCCTTCTCTCACATTCGCATTGTGGATTTTCATTTTTTTTCTTTTAATCCTAATGTATTCTTAAACTGGACGACACACTTGGACGTGCGCACAAGAGAGAAGAAAATTGAGAAGGCAATTAATTCTATATACTAATTACGCATACGATCACTACCCTCTCAATTCTCTTCTTCCTTCGCTTTTTTTCTCCTATTATTCTTCCTTCCTGTCGGAGGACAAAGTCCTTTCTTCAGTGCACTCTCTTAATTCACGCGTTTATACCTGGTTCTCCGCGAATGCCCTTTTCCCCTCATTGCTTTCTCTCTCTCCCTCTTTCTCTCCTCGGATTGAACTTCTGAATTTCTTCTCCTTTTTTTTCTTCTTCCCCTTTGAATCAGTACCGATTGTCTTTAAAAAGCCCCATTTATCAATCTGGTTACCATTGGTCGAAGTAGCACGCAAGCGTATCACGACGATCGCTCGCGATCACACACAATGTGGGCGTAAAGTCGAAGAGATCGTCATTGAGCCGCGCACACAAATCATTCACGGAAGAGAAATCTTCGACTTTCGCAAAATTTATTTCCATTTCATTTCTGTTTCATTTCCTTTTCTCTTTTTTCCCTTTTGTTTGAACAACGGCGTTGAAGGTCCTCTGCGATGTGCGAAATTTCCATGTATTCTTGCAAATCCCGGCTAAGAGAGTACTTTGACTTTGTTTTCGGCGAGAATAGAACCCAGGAACCCAGGAACCCATGTGGACCGCTTTCTTTTTTCTTCCTTTTTTTCTTTTTTTTTCTTTTTCTTTTTTTTTCATCAGCCTTGGAACATGCCGAGGAAATGCAAACTCTTCGACAACGAAGACGGTAGCGTGATATCGATAACCGAGATAAAGTAGAGAATAAGAGACGGCCTTTTCAGTGTGTGTCAGTAGTGCAAACTATTCACGTCCTTGATTTCGTTGCTACTATCAGCGTTACTGTTACTAGTCACCATACCACCGCAATTCTGCGTGTCGTATTCCAATACCAACCGTTTAATATGGCTAAGCTTCTCGTGCAGATAATGAAATCGACGTTTCGTCTCCCTATGTTTAGGATCGCGTTTAGTCTCGTTATACTCGTACAGAATTAACTGCCTGATTGCCTGCAAAACACAGATCAAGAACAAATAAAATCATCGATCTTTTTTGTTATAACAATACATTTTGAATAATAATGTAGAAGAATATACAAGATGTAACAATACCTCATACTCGTTCCAATTTCTCGAGGCTTGTTCACGCTTCAAACGATCTTGCAGCTGCGTAAACCGTTTAGACACTTTTGCCACTTGAGCATGCAACCTCCGATATTCTTCATAGTCCGCGTTGAATTCTGCCTTGTAACGTCTTCTCTGTTCTGCACTGCTTATTGTCGTGTAGTAACTGCAAGCAATTCAAATACGAGTACGTTAGTATGTGACAAAATTCTCGTACTTCGTCGTTTATTACCGTAACATATCGTGGGAAATAGAGTCTTGCATCAAAATGTGATTTCTTTACTCTTTATTATATAATACTATAACACTATAAAACACTATAACACTATAACACTATAGACACTCTTCACTTTTCCGTTTCTCTCGCTCGACTCTCAACTCTCTACCTTTACTGGATGATGACTCGCAACTGACTGCCGAATTCCTTTTCGACATCCTTCCTTGAAGACTTTGTCATTCTCACTTACTCATGCGCACAAACATTCGTACTCTTAATAATTTTGAGTTACAGGCGGCTAAAACAAATATCCCAGGCCTATCCTTTGTTTCGGACCCCTTCCCAGTATTCCCATACTAATTCTATATAATCCTAACAATCCAACACGTTACTTAAGCTATACCTCCAGAGAAGTAACAAATAACATTAAATCAAAACTGTGGAATTGTCGTGGAGGGTATTAGCTCGGTGAATTTAAGCAGGTCAACTTATGGGTCCTATTGTAAATGAAGACCCCTTCGCCATGCGTTCCACTTCATTAATTGGAAGAATACTCACGTGAGGTAGTCAGGATACTCGGACGACTTAGGACTCTCCGGCAGGTCAAGGCCGCAGGAGGATGTACTGACGGTATTGTCATCCGTTGCCGCATAATCAGGCGCAGTGATGTCGTTGTACGAGTTATTAGCTGTCCCGTTCCTCCTTGAGTCATGATCCCTGTCGACAACGCGACCCCTATCGTTCCTCTCGCCGCGATCTCTCCTGCTGTCGGCGAGTATTCCATTTGAACTACCACTACCACCATAACTACCACCTGCACCACTCACGACACCAGGCATCGAACGGGCCACGCAATCCACAGCCGCACCGGCATTCCCGTCGGCACCGGGCATTATAGCCGCCTTGCCGCTATAATGATGACGATTGCCGCTCGAAGAACTACTACTATGGGTCACACTACCGTGAGAATTGTGGCTAGCGGCTAGCGTGTTGCTAGTGGCGGCTAGCGTCGTGTTGCTGCTGGACATGCCGGTGATCCCGACGAGCTGGCTGGTAGGCTCCTCACTGTCACTGGTCGGCGTCAGGCATGGTTTCCCATAGCTGCGTAGCACATCACTGTTCGCTGTTCTTTCGGGCCGGCAATCGCCACGACGATCACGCTGATGCTGCCTCTGATCCCAACCGTCAATCACACCACCGCCGCTAGTACCACCACTGCCGTTATTAGCACTACTACCACCCGCTCCACCGGAAATCGCACTACCACCACCACCACTGTTACTACCACCACCACCACCACTACCAGCCGTCCTTCCGTTATCCCCAAGGTTCGACGATCCGGTATTCGTTTCCGACTTCTTGTAATGGGATATCCGTGGTTTCTTGGTTGGCAGTCCGTCGTTACCCTGATAGTAACCCGGTCGCTTGTCGTTCAACAATAAGGGAGGGGGTGCTGTGATCGCCGGTGGTGAACCTGGGTGAGTAGAATTCGGTGATTGTCCACTGCCTGCAATATACATGTATTTACAATATTGGTACATGTTATTTTGTATTTTATTATCGACACAATTGTCGCCTGTATAATATCATTTCACTATTAGATGAATGAGAAAAAACAGCGTTCAATGTAAGAAAATTATTTACGAATACATTTTCTTCAATGTAAGAAAATTATTACGAATACATTTTCTTTTTTATATGTTCTTGTAAATTTCCCAATAAATTTCTTCACTCTGCATGTTAATCTGGGAACTATCGTCGGGTTAAGGATATCATTCTTTCAAAAAGTTAGTAAACTTACTAAAAGTATCAATTGACAATTGTTTTCAAATGAACGTGAAATGTAATCGATGAACAGTCATTAACACTAAACGTACCAAGCGGGGTCAAATGGCCCCTTTTCTCAAAATTTACTTGAAAATCGTACATTCGTTGTTATTCCTTTCGCTAATCTGACTTTTTCTAAATTCTTATATTATCTGATTATTCAATTTCTCGTTTTCTGTTTTTCTCTTAGCTTCATTTTTTTTACCAAGAAAAATTCTCTGCATACCTTATGTACCGCGAGGGATCATACCTTATGTACCGCGAGGGGTCATTTTTGACCCTTTATGGTAAGATAGGTATATGCAAAATGCCGGTACATAGTTTAGTGTTAAAGTGAAGATCAGAATTCAGGAAAGTAAATCGTACCGCTGGATCCACCGTCGCTAGAGCCAGGAGGTGTGAGATTTTGAGGTTTTCTTCTTTTCAACACAGACTTTTCTTCCTCGGTATAATAAGGCCAGTCCTCTTGCACGTCATTCCAGATGTGTCTCTGCAGATGATAAGTGTTATCTCTTATGTAAGCTACCTGTTTCAGAGTCATCGTCATGATGTTACGTTCTCGTTCCCTTACACCCTCTGAAAATATAAAATAACGATTTATCGAATTATCCGCTGCGAAACATTCCAGGGATATTTTAAACGCCAGAATTAAAGAATTATAAAAGTATTGTCTAATTTTATGAAACATACAAATTACTAATACTACAACAGACTTCTCTCCATTCCTCGCACTTTTCGTTTCGTCGATACGAGTTTTATATTTTATATTGCTTGTAATTCTAGCGTTGAATTTGCTTCGATCTTTCGTTCATGTTCTTACCTCTGATTAAACGATCGTACAATTCTGGTTTCTTGTATGGTCTCAAAGCAAGGAGATGGATAAATCTTTCCCTGCAGAAAGAAACGGGATATTTATTATAACTATTTGCAGAGAATTCGACAATTACTTAGACCTTTTTATCTCAGACTAGACAGCCATTATTTGAATTCCCAGCAACTTTAATTTTCGTGCAAATTAATCAATCGTTATCATTCAAATTCAAATAAGATGTCTGATCTGAACGGCACTTTACATAACTATTGTCATTAGTATTTAAGAAGATAATTTCGAATTACTAAATAAACTGCTCAAATGTACCTTTTCCCTTAAAATCACTTCTGAATAATGCAATACTAATCTATGAATTGTCGCTTAAATTCATCATTTCGACGTAAATCTTCCCACTAGTGGCCGGTGAAACGAAATTCAATGAGACTAACTCACAATAACAAGAATATTACTTTTCATCAGTCTTACTTTTCATAATTCTCGCGGGAGATCTTAAAAAAGTACAATCCCTCAGGAGGCGTGCGCATCGAACCTCGCCATAATTTTTCACTTTTAATTTCAATACTCACCTCGTAAAGCGTGGTTTATTATAATTATGAAACAAAGGCTATAAATTAAGACTTTATGGATTCCAAATAAATGTATTCCTCGTAGGTACCGAGAGATTAAGCTTAAAGGTTCTAGTTTAAGGACTCACTTTAATGGTCTGCGCATAATATCGGGGATTTTCTTCTCCGTTCGATTCCGGGATCTTGACGCATTAGCAGACTTGTAAGAGGAAGACAGCCCAGACTGACTGCCGGAAGTTGGAATGCTCGTCGTGTCCCGATGCCTAGAATTCGATGATGCAGGAGCGGTCCTTCCGGTTGCTCTCACCTTCACTTTACGCCCGATATCTGGCCCATTTGGCTTGATAACCCTGGTACTGGTGGAAAATAAAACAAATAAGAAAAATTGCTATCATTCCCACTGGTAATGTTACGCGACATTATAAATAATATTTATATAAGTAATAATATCAGACTATTGAACATGAGAAACGATATAATTTTCAATAGCAATATAAATCGTTTTCAATCTCCACGAGATACTCAGTTCTTTTTTTTTTTTGTTTTTTTTTTAAATAAATTAAGGTTCCTTACGAAATTTGTAACATTTGAAAATCCAAACGATTATCTTGACGTACAATCGTTGTATTACTATCATGAAATAAGTGATATTTATTACTACCAATTATTAGCAGACAATATTGTTAGGTAATGCAACATTCGAATATTAAGATACTCGAAAAATAATGATTCGAATGAAAGAGGTTCTTCTACCGCGCTATAAAAATTTCATAATCGGGAATAAAAAAAA